GGCCTGCCCTCTCCAGACACCCCTTCTGTTTCACAGGCCCCTTTAGAATAATTGTTCCGCGTGCCCTTGGCGCCTGCAGCAAAGAGGATGTGCTGCCGCACCCCCTCCCCTGCACGCCGCGGGCCAGGGTGGGCTGCGAGGGCAGGTGGGCGGTGGCGCGCGGGCTGGAGGTGAGCTGGTGGGAACACAAGTGGAAGCGACACCACTGGGGCCCGCTTGGGCCCCCGCTCCTCCAGCTCCTCCTGTGGCCAAGGCCTGCGAGGGTTGCCCGTCTTGCAGCAGCCGCCCTGCCGCAGGGAGCCCCACGGGACCAGGCCTGAGGCCACGAGGGGCTGCTCACTGGGCGCCGTGGTCCTGCCCAGGCCATAGTTGGGCCACCTGGTCGCGACTAGCGCCTGGTCCGCAGGCCACGGCAGACCTGGGCAACGCGTGCCCTCCTCCCATGCCCTCTTCTGTCCCCGCTTCTCCGAGCCTTCAGAGAACTGTTCAGAGAAGGGTCCAGGCTTTGGAGAGCCGGCAGGGACCTGGCCCTGGCGCCAGCTGGCCGCACCTCTCCTGACCCTGCTCGGTTGGTCCCGCTGGGCCTCCCGGGGGGCTGCTCTCCTTGGCAAGCTCTGCTGCCAGAGACCTGCGCGGGCGCTTGGCCTGCACACCCCGAGCCCGGGCGTCAGGCTGCCGCCATTTGGAGCCGGTGACCAGGCTCCACTGAGGCCTGGGGTCAGGCGTCCACGGTGTGCGTTCCTCCGAGGGCTGTCGCGGCGTGCGAGCAGGCCCGGGCCCCGCGGCTGCTGCTCCTTGGTGAGGTGTCCTCGGCGCAGGAATACTCGGTCTGTGTCCGCGGGCTGGGGCGCACAGGCCTTTTCACGGGCGGGCAGCCGAGGCCACGGACGGCCATGGACGGTGACGACGCGGGGCATCACCTCGGAAGGCGTGGACTTGGCCGGGAAGCGGCGCCGAGCTGCACCATCTGTTGGCCAGCCTGGCCCAGGGCGCGGGGCAGGCCAGCTGCGATGTGAGGAGCCCGCGAGCGCGGCTGGCTTGCTCTCCGCCTGGTCCGCGCGCTGTGTCCTCTCGGCGCTAACCTGGTGCCTCCGGACGGACGCCTGCGGGTCTCAGCCAAGGCGCTGCAGCCAGGGCCGGAGGGAGGGCGGAGGCCCGAGGCCCGGGCGGCGTGGGAAGCCCCTCTCTGCTGGCCTCTGGCGGCGGCGGGAAGCAGTGAAGGGACGGGGCGAGCCGCTCCCCAGGGAGCCAGAGGGGCCTCCCCAGCCCAGGCCTCTGAGCTGTCACCCCTCCCGGCAAACGCTCCTCCGCTGGGGTTGGGGGGGCAGGGGAGCTCAGAGAGAAGAACTGGGGAGGGGGCAGGAGGCGGTGTCCTTGGAGACATGGGGTGCCCTCCTGTTCTTCCACCTGTGGTAGCTGGGGCGCCTCCCGCGCCCCAGGCTTCTGTCCGGGGGCCTTCCCTGGCCCCGGATTTGGCTCGGGAGCGCGGGACGTGCGGGAGCCGGCGGCAGGAGGGGCGTAGGAGGCCCGGGGCTTTCTGCGTGGTGTCTGGTTCCCTGTCTGTGAAGATCTGGAATTGTCTTTGTGAAAGGCGTAGCGTCTACGCAGGCCCCGTCGCTGGCCCCGGGCAGATGGAGGCATCGTTGCGTGTGCGTCGAGGAGGCTTGCTGCCGGCAGCGGGGTTGGTGACAGGATCTGGGGTGGGGGGTGTGCTGGGGTGGGGGTGGGCTGAGGGGTGGCCCAGGGTGCGGGGGGTGCAGCCCAAGGGGTGGGGAATGGTGGTGTGGGGCATAGGGGGAGGCAACTCGGTGTGGATGCAGCTGCGGGGGCGGCTGAGGGTTGGGGAGGTGCCTGAGGGGGGCGAGCACAGCAGGTGGGAGTCTGAGGCAGTGGGCCCTGCCGCAGGTGTGGGTGCTGGGAGCCGGGTACTGGGGTGCAGCGGTGCAGTGAGGGGCTGGTCTCGGGCTGACGCCATGGTTGGGCATTGGAGCCCTTACCCCGCTGCTTCCCCAGCTGCACACAGACAGGGGTGCTGGGACACACCTGCACCCCTTCCCCAGCCCATCACGAACCCAGAGTCTGGCTTTGGCAAATCTCCTTCCACGAGGAGCCGGCTGGGCAGGGCCCCTCCCCGGGGCAGCCGCTGGCCTCATGCAGGGCTAGGTAGGGTGTGCCCGGGGCACGGTTTGCTGGAGGGGTGCTCGGGGGCTGTGTTGACTTCCCATTCTCTCTATTTTGGTTTCTCTGCCTGCTGTCCGATGGAACTTTCCAGAGCGGGGGCATTGCAGAACGCGCGACCAGAACAGAGCTGCCTGGCTGGGCGGGAGAGGCCCGAGGGCAGTGGCTCCTGCGCTGAGCTCATCTCGCTCTCCAAGAGCCGGGAAACACCTCTGTTACTGCTGAAGGTCCCCCGGCTGGCACAGCTGCTGCCGCCCCGAGCCTGGGCGTCCTGGGAGCCGCCCGGGGGCCTCCTCTGGCCTCGACCCCGGGGCCTTGTTCTCCTCGGAACCGAGTCCTTTCTTCTGCGGGCTCCAGCCTCCCAGACGCGCCCCGTCCTCGGAGGGTGTACGGCCCCTGTCAGGAGGGGCGGCCAGATGCCCCAGGCTGCTGCTGGCTGGGATGGCTGAGTGGCCAGGCTGGGCCCTCTCCTATGGTGTCTGCGCGTCACACAAAACCTGCAAACGTGGGCGGCCCCTCCCCTGTAGCCCTGCCCCGCCCGGCGGCTCCTCTAACGGGTTTGAAGCAGAGGCCGCTGGGCCTGTTTCTTTCCTCCCCGAGGTGGGGAGGCGCTGCGTCGGCGCAGGAGGGCCACGTGCCTGGAGGACATGTCCTAAAAGCAGAGTGGGGCTCGGGGCGTGGCAGGCCCACCAGTCTGCGGTCCCCTCGCGGGCCCCCCCGAGCCTGCCCCAGGTACCCGCTTGCCGCCCGACATGGGCGCACCTGGCCAGGGTGTGGGCTGTGCCGCTCGGAGGGGGTGAGGTCACCTGCCCACCAGGTCAGCCCCATCCTCCCTCCCTGTGCCCACGGGGCTGACACGCCAAGGGGACGCACAGCAGGGCCGCTCAGCCGGCCTCGAGGGTCCTGTGGCCCCGGAGGAGTGTTTAGGCCTCCCTGGTCTGGTTTGATTTTCTGGATGAAACACCCCCCGCGACGCCTCCCCAGGCGCGTGCCCTCCCTGGCCAGACCGCCGCGCATGCGCGTCCTCTCCCCGGCTGTCCGCCCACACAGCGGGGCTGGGGACAGGAGCCGCACGCGTCCCCCAGAAGGCAGCGAGAACTGTGCCGGCGCCCGTGGCCTGCGGCTCGGACATCACGGTGTCTGCGTGAGCTGCGTGCCTGGTCCCTGCGAGCAGAGCGGGCTGGGCGGGGAGCAGCGCCCCAGGCCACCTTCCTGGTGCATCCGCGGGACGCTGAGGCCCCCTGGCCGGCCAGGCCCTGTCCCTGGAGGACCAAGTTCAGCTTTTCCCTTGGCCGACAGGGATCCAGGCGTGGTCAGTCCTGGGAGGCTCTGTGCCTCCCCGCGTGTGAGGGCTGGTCCTGCTGTCCTGGCTGCCGTGGCCACGCGCTGGGCTGGCCCTCCGTGGCACCAGCCCAGACCCCGTGTGGGGGGGTGCAGGGGCTGACCACCGGGGGCCGTCTGGCCCCTGAGGAGTCTTGGCTGGCTGGTTCACCTGGACGCAGACCTCTGCATCTCGTCTGGTGGCCGTGGAGGAGCGAGGCGGCTGCTGAACTCGCTGGGCAAGCGTGCTGGCCCCTGTGATAAAGTGCTAGTGACGGCGGGGACCGCGCGCCCTTTGGACTAGGGCTTTCCCTCCTAAAGTGACGTCGTGCGGCGAAGGCGTGAGCCGTGCCCCTCCTCCAGGGCCAGCTCATCCCGGGCCTCTGTCGCGGCTCCTCCTGCGTGGCCGGTGATGCCGCATCTGGGCTCCCCGTCCGGCCCGTGGCCTCGGCCGCTCCGCCCCTCAGTTCCTGCCCCCAGTACCCAGCCATCCTGGATCCGACTCCAGAGTGGCTTGTCTGGACTTTCCTACACGTTAAAGCTAAACAAAGCACCGAAAGGAAAATGAAGACTTATAAAAATATAACGGGGTCACCCCCCAGCTTGAAATTCAGTGAACAGACTTTCCAGACACCCTGGACCCCACCCTCCATTCACACGGGCTGCGACACACCCCACACCTCACTCTGGAACCCCTGAGCCCTGGGTCCTCCACCCCCCGACCCTGCCTTCCCAGACACACTCCCACTGGCCATTCCAAAGAGACTCGCCAAAAAATAGACATTTGAAAAAGTGCATCTGTTTATACTCCGTCTATCTGCATATTTCTTGAGATTATTACTTTTTTTTAAACCATAAAAAAGATTGCATATTGGCAATTTGTGAGAACACCGGGCGGCCGATTCCAGGGGGCGGCGCCAAGCGGTGCGAGCACTGAAGCAGGGGGGCCGGGAGGGGCAGGTGGTCCGGGCCGGAGGCCTGGGACCGGCCTGGGGCCTCTGTCCCTGGCGCCCTCTGCCTCCGCCTTCCCGGCTCCTCTGGGTCCCGCCCCCGGAAGCAGAGGCTGGATGGCTTTTTGGCGTGTGTCCACCCTGCCGGCTGGACCAAGGCGTGGCTGGGAGGGTGTGCGGGGACGCAGCAGAGCAAGCTGCTTTGTGACGGACCCCCCTCCGGGACAGCGGCCTCGCCCCGCCACGTCGAGGCTTTAAGCAGTTGCTAGGCTGACAGGCTGAGAATCGCCTGTTCTCGTGGGTTTGCGCTAACATCAAGCGTGGATATAGGTCGTATATTACATGGCTTTCCTTCTGCCTGGGCAGGAGAAGACTCTGCCGTGCTCGAGGTTTTGAAAGCCGCCCCGCCCCAGCCCCGCACCGGCCGCCAGGTCCTCCCGGGACGCCCCGGCGGACGGGGGTTGCCCAGGCCGCATGCAGCGCTGCCGGGCTGGGGCTGGGGCGCGGGGCTGCGAGCTGCTCCCTCCGCCCCGCCGCCCCTCCGCCCTCGCCCAGCCCGTGCAGACCGTCACTGGTTGTGCACGTCCTCCCTGCGGACGATCTTGTAGATGATCCAGTAGAACATGTTGAAGATGAGGAAGGCCATGGGGAAGCCGATGCGTGAGATCTTGTCGATCTTCTTGGCCCGCTGGATGAAGAGCTTCCGCATCTCCTCGGGCGTCTTGGAGGGCGCGGGCGGGGGGTTGGTGGCGGTGCTGTTGGCGCCCTTGACCGAGATGCCGTCCTTGGCCTGCAGGCAGGCGGGGCCCATCCCGTAGGCGGAGAAGTTGAAGCGGCCCTCCCCGGCCTCGTCCTCCTGGAACAGACGCAGCATGGGGCTCTGCGGAAGGTCAGCCGGACCGGGGCGCCCTCCCCGCCGGGCGCCCCCGCCGGCCCCTCTGCTGGCCCCCGCCGGCCCCCCGCCAGGCCTGCTGCGTCCTGGCGCCCGCGGTGAGGCCCTCGCGAGGGGCCCCGCCTGCTGGCCAGATGCAGAGCGGGGGCCGCGGCGAGGCTTAGGTGTCTGTCCCGCCAAGCCCTGCCTGCTGGCCTGGGGCCTCCGTGGGGCAGGGCTGGTCTCCTATCCCTGGAAGTGGAGGACAGCACCCGCCTGCAGGGGTGACCGGGGAGGGGCACTCCCTGTTGGGAGCCGGGGACAGTGGGGGCAGCTCCCTGCCTCGCCTCTGCTGGCCTCCGCCTCCGCCCTCTGCTGGCCCCTGGCTCCCCAGCTCCCTGCAGACGGGGCGGCGGTGGCCGTGGCCCCACTGCAGCTCCCAGGGCCTCTCCCCGCCCGGCGGATGGGGCTGTGCTCCCGTGGGAAGGGGGTGCCCAGCAGGCACACCCCGGGGGGCGCCGCCACAGCTAAGTGACCCAAGAGCCGTGGCCTCGTGCCTGTGAGCTCTTTGGGGGCCGGCTCCCCAGCGCCTGGGCGGGACGCCCCGAGGCCCGCGAGCCCGGCGTGCAGCTCCCGCCCAGGCTGTCCTCGCGGCTCATGGCCCAGGTGCCCCGAGGGTCCGCGCGGTGCCGCAGCGGCCTGGACCCGTGGGCCCCGGGATGCAGGTGCCCCGGCCCGGCCCGGCCCGGCCCGGCCTACCTTGTGATGCCTGCGCTTCCTCCGGAAGCGGAGCAGCTCCTTGTGCTGCCGGGACACGAAGTTGACGGCCGCGTACTCCAGCAGCGCCGAGAACACGAAGAGCAGGCACACGGCCATCCAGATGTCGATGGCCTTCACATAGGACACCTGGGGGCACAGGCCAGAGTGGGTCGGCGGGCCCTCAGCCCAGGCCGGGCGGCCCTCACCCCCAGGCCCGGCGGCCCTCACCCCCAGGCCCGGGCGGCCCTCACCCCCAGGCCACGGGGGGCTCTCAGCCCAGGCACAGCTGGCCCTCACCCCCAGGCCGTGGGGGGCCCTCACCCCCAGGCAGGGAGGGGGGCTTGGAGGGGCGAGGGACAGCGGGCAGGTGCCGGGCAGGGCCGTGGCTCATCAGTCAGCGAGCCCAGCTGGTGCAGGCTGCGGCAGGCCAGGAGTCCACCAGGCCGCCTGCGGGGAGGCCGCCCCTTCCGTCCTGCGTCAGGGCCACGGGAACCCGGGAACAATGGCAGAAGCCACTTTTCTCATCAAGCTGTTAACTAGCCGGAGCCTCGGTGACCCTGTGCGCATTTAAGAAAAGCAGCTGGATGTGGGAGCAGCAAATTCTGTGGCAAACGAAGCACCAAACCAGCTTTGACTGAGACGGCTCCCTGCGGCGCCAGGAGCGGCCCGCCCTGCAGCTGCGGTCAGGGGGCCCGGCCCCCCGCAGGCTTGGGTGAAGCAAGTGCCTCCAGCTGTCCGCCCCTCGGCCAAGGCCCCCTCCCCGGCCCCAGCAGCCGCTCGCGGAGCAGGGCCCCCTGTTCCTGCGCGTCCCGGGAAGGGGCTCTCCGGCGCCCCTCACTTAGCAGTGTGTCCTCAAGGGTCATCACGGTGTCACTTTCCTCAGTATTTCATTCTTTTTTATGTGCAAACGATACTCCGCAAGGCGGCGCGTGGTGGCCACATCTTGTTCCTCCATTTTGGGTTGATGGACGTTTGGGTTGTTTCCACCTTTCGGCCATTTTGAGTCATGCTGCCCTGCACACCCGTGTGACATGTGCTCTCATTGCCCCCGGGGCCTGGTGCTTTTAATTTGCCCCGTTCCCCTCCTCCCGGCCCCGGCTCCACGCGAGACTGGAAACTGGTGTCTCGCAAGCACGGTGAGCGCCCGTGCCTGGCAGTCAGCGGGTCAGGCGGGCAGACTTGGAGCTTCGTTAAAGCCCGTTTCCTGAGAACTGTCACAATTTACCTGTTTAGTGGCTGCCCGAGACCTCGCTCACAGGCTCTTTATTTGGCTTGACTTGGAGCTGGCCAGATGTGAACAGGCTTTTCCTTGGAGCATTTGCTGAAAACAGTGCTCAGAAGTGTTGAGCACTGTATCAGCCGAGGCAGGAGATAGCAGCTGAGGCAAACCATTGGTTGATCAAAAAGCTTAGAAGAGAAAGCTGCAGAATGAGGTGCCCACAGGGGCTTTGGAAGGCTCCGCCATGTTCCCGGGGGCCCATGTGCATGGCCAGGTGAGGCCTGACTGGCTGGCGGGGTGGAGGGTAAGTGTGTGGCTTGGCTGAGCGTTGAGGTGGCACCCTGACATGCCGAGAGCCCCAGACCAGCGCTGGGAGATTTACAGGTTCTAGGCTTTTAAAGAAATCTCTGTCCATTTTTTAGCTACCCACTCAGATAAATGAACAGACTTAACTAACCCCAAACAGCAAAGAATACTGGCATTACAGAACTAGTTCAGAGGAGTTACTAAGCAAGAACATCAAATGAGGAGGCAGGCGAATCGTTACATTATGTAATATGTGTCCTTGCCAACAAAATACTATAAGCCATACAAAGAAATGGGGACAGAATGGCCTCCAGTGGACTGATGTTTGCGTACAGCAACATATGTTGAAATCCAAACTCTCACACTAGGGTATCTGGAGACCTTTAAGAGGTGATCAGGTGACGAGCGAAGAACCTCATGAACAGTATCGGTGCCTGTATAAAAAGAGGCCAGAGGCTGACCTACTTCTCTGTCCGTCATGTGAGGATACAACAGCAAGCTGGCAGTTTTTAACTGGGAGAGGGCCCTTCCCAGGACCTGACCATGCTGGTATCCTGACATCAGATTTCCATTTTCCAGAACTGCGAGGAGTAGGTTTCAGTGGTCTGTGAGCCTCCCAGTTTATGGTACTTTGTTGGAGCAGCCTGGACTGACCAAGACTGGCCCACACCTAGGAAAAAAGGCAGTGGAAGGAAGCTACCAGGATGCGTGGCTTTGGGCTAAGTACTTTAACCAGCTATCTGATGTATTCAAAGACTAAAGGAAACCATGTCTAGACAACTGAGGAAAAGTATGAGAACCAAGTAGAGGAAGAAATAGGAATAATAATAATAATAGTAGTAGTAGAAGAAGAAGGAGAAAAATCAAGTGTAAATCCTGGAGTTGAAAAGCAACTGAAATGAAAATTTCACTAGACAGTATCAACGGCATATTTGAACAGACAGAAGAAAGGACAAATAAACTTGAAGAGGAGTCAGTGAGCTTGAGGCTGTCCTACCCAAGAAACAGGATGAAGGGAAATGAACAGAACCTCGGAGGCGGGTGGGGACCACCAGGTGCACGAGCACCTGAAATGGGTGTCCCGATCACGTGGGATTTATCCTGGGGATGCAAAGTTGGTCAAACAGGCAAGAAACAATCACCATGTGACAAGAACAGAGGACAAACATCACAGGCTCCTTTAAATAGATGCAGAAACGTCATTTGACAAAATATAGCACCTTTCATGATGAAAACAACAACTAGGGATAGAAGGGATTTTCTCCTCTTGATAAAGGAAATCTAAGAAGAATCCACAGTCATTATCATGCTTAGTGGTGAAAACTGAACCCCTTTCCTATAAGATTAGGAATATGATAAAAAATGTCTGCTTTAATCATGACTATTTGACATTGTATTGGAATTTCTAGCCAGGGCAATTAGGCAAGAAAAACAGCTAAAAGGCATTCTGGTTGTAAAGAAAGTGAAGCTGTCTCTAAAGATGAGCTGGTCTATGTATCACAATCCTATTCCATACAATACAAGACAGTTCTGAGGAAGGCATAAAAATCTGTTGGAGCTAATGAGTTCAGCGAAACCGCAGAACCCTATATACAAGAAGTGAACTGCCCTCCTGTACACTAGGATGATCAAATTAAAAAACGGAATTAAACAATTTCATTTATAATAGCATAAAGTAGAATCATATATCGGAAATTAGCTTAACAAACTAAGTGCAAAACTCATAAGAAAACTAGAAGATTTTGTTGAATGAAAGTGAAGACGACCCCCATAAACAGGAAGGCAGCTTGTGTTCCCGGATTCGAGGACTTAATATTGTTCAGATGGCAGCACTCCCCACATACATCTAGTGATTGGTGCTAAGCTCATCTTAAAATTCATACTCATGATTATATGGAAATACAAGGACCCGGAATAGCCACAACTATCTTAAAATCAGAACAAACTTGAGGGACTCACACATCCCTATTTCAAAATCCTTACTACAAAGCTATGGTAATCAAAACGGTGTGGTGCTGACATAAGGTTAGATACACAGATCACTGGAATAGGATTGTGATTCCAGAAATAAACCCAGACATCTATGGTCATTTGATGTTGGACGAGGCTGTCAATTCAATGGAGAAGAATTATTTTCTCATCAGATGGTGCTGGGACAAATGGATGCCCCTGTGGAAGAGTGATATACCTCCCTTCCTCAGACCAAATGTAAAAATGAAATAGATGAAAAACGAAGAGCTAAGCCATAGAACTTTTGGGAAAAAATAGGTGTAAATATTCATGATCTTACACATTAATTTAAATATGAAAACAAAAGCACAAGCAGAAAAGGAAAAATAGATAAGTTAGACTTCACCAGAATTTTTCTGCATTAGAGACACAATGCAGTGTCAAGACAGCCAACAGAGAGGGAGAGAATATTTGCAATCATATATGTGATGAGGGTGTGAAACCCACACAACACACAGCGTTAGCAGAGCTGACCGTACAAAGAGAAATACCCAATTTAAAAGTGGGCAAACAATTTGAATAGACATTTCTGCCATGAAGACATAAAAACGCCCAACAAGCACGTGAAAAGGATGCTCAGCACTCGTGGAAGATAGCTCGGCAGCTCCTCCAAGAGTGAAGCATTTAGTTGCCATATAACCCAACAGTCCACTCCCAGGCCTGCACCGACGAGAGGTGAAGCTGTGGCCACACAAAGATGCGTGCAGGGATATTCATGGAGGCATCATCTAGGAGAGCCAAGAGTTCACCAGCGATGACTAAACAACGTGCTGTGTTCACACAGCGGGATACTGATACAAGAAGCAAGAAGTGCTGATCTGGAAGGCAAGGACCCTGGGAAACACTCAGACTGGATGCAGCCCGTCCGGTCTGTTTCCCTGAGCTGTCCAGAGCGGGGCGGTAGAGGCTGGCGGGAGGGGGCGACGAGCCGCGTGGGCTTCCCTTTCGTGCTGACACAGCGTGTGGGATTTGGCAGTGGTGGGGTGCAGATTTGTGGCTACAGTAAGTGCCGTTGACTTCTGCGCTTGCCAAGCGTGACGGGACATAGCAGTGGGGCTGCACGCGTCTGTGCTCACGGCCAGCGGCCGAGGGGACACAGTGAGTGGCCGAGGAGGACGAGGTGCCACGACTCACCGGCATGGAGCAGAACGCCGGGTGGCGGCAGGTGGATGAGCGCAGCGGGGGGTCGCATCTCACAGAGAAAGGGAAGGGCCAGCCGTGTAGGCCGTGGCCACGGTGACGGGCGGGCTGACCTGGCGGGGAGGGTGGCACCTGCCCGAGCCCTGGCTAACCCTGCCCCCTGCCCCCTGCCCCCCGATGACAGTGTTTGGGCAATAGGGGAAGTGTAAATAAAGGCCGGTCTGGGCCGATATCGTGGAGCTGATTCCAATTCATACTGATTGTTTTAGATCGCCTGATAGTCTTTGCCTTTCGTGACTCCTTGTGATTTACCAGCAGTTACTTTTCAGAAGGGCTGTCCCTGGGATGGCTCAGAGCTGAGCTGTCACTTCCGCAGCCTCCAGAGGACTCTGCCCTGTTACCCCCGACTCCCCACCCCCCCGCCCCCCCACCTGCACAGTGACGCGGGCAGGGAGGCACGTGGGCAGGGCTGGCAGGGCCAGTGCGGGCGGGGACAGCAGTGACAGCGGGGCCAGTGCGGGTGGCAGGGTGGCCGCTCTACATTATTTCTGCCTTTCTGGGTCTAGCCAAAAGTTAGCTGCTGGGGGTGGGGGGTGTCTGTGTGTCCTGTGTGGCCCCGGGAGGGGTGTGCTGAGCGTGGCCGGGCCAGGCCTCACGGGAGGAGGCAGAAGGGCGTGTGTGTTCTCGGGCACCGTGTCCGCCTTGGGGGCGAGCCGGGTGCTGGGAGGGCCGGCGCTAACAGAGAAGGGGCAGAACAGGCACCTGCTGCCGGGGGTGAGCGCGGACGGAGCGTGTGCCTAGGCCGAGCGGGCGGAGGGGGCGCGTCTGCTGTCGCCGAGCTGGCGGAAGGGGGTGGGGGCATCACCGCACCTAACCTTGGACATGGGCTTCGCCCTCACAGTGTCACTGCTGCTGGGTGTGCAGAGCAGGGCTGTGTGGCCAGCGCCAGGGACGGCCGCCAGCCGGACCCCGGCCTGACCTCTGGGGATGTGGGGTGGGGTCCAGAGGGCTTCCCTGTGCCTGGACAGTGGGTGTGAGCCCTGTGGCCGCTGCTGGGGTCTAGAATCTTTGTGGGTGCTGGGGGCCCATGAAAACCCTGGGTGCTGAGGCTGGCGTGGCTCTCAAGGCAGCAGAAGACCGGCACACAGCGCTGCCTCTGCTGCTGCCGAGCGTCACCCCACTTCTGGCCCTGCCGGGGCCTCCTCACCTGTCCTGGATGTGTCCCGGGGAAGATGGCAGCTGCGAGGACCCCATGCTGAGTCCCATGGGTCCTGCCAAATCTCTGGGTGTGGCCCCAGGGGCCCCACCAGAATGCCCACCGCACACAGGGGCAGGGGCAGAGGGGTGCGTGGGGTGAGGCAGAGGGAGCGTGGCGTTGCTGAGGGAGGCCCCGCGGCCTGCCCATGGCGGGGTGGGCCAGAGAGCTGGGCCTCGCTAAGCAGTGGACACCCTGGGCTATGTGCAGGGCGCTGAGTGTCCCGCAGGCAGTGTCTCACCTTGGGCAGGGAGGCGCGGGACCCCGAGCTCTGGGTGGTCATGGTGAGCACGGTGGTGATGCCCAGGCCCACGCGGGCCGGCGCCGCGTCCATGTTGATCCAGAAGGAGATCCAGGAGAGGATGACGATGAGCAGGCTGGGGATGTACATCTGGATCAGGTAGTAGCCCATCTGCCGCTCCAGGTGGAAACGGGCCTCGATGCAGGTGAATTTACCTGCAAGACATGATGGCGAGCTGGCCAAGGCACGGGTCGCAGGGGCAGGCCGAGTCCGAAGGGTTGGGCATTGGGCTGGCCTGCCTCCTGCCCGGGCCTGTGACCTGGGGCGAGACTGTCCCATCGGGCCCCCCGGCGGGGCTCTGCCGGCGGTGCTGTGAGGCGCTGGTGGGTCCTGGGGCGCCCTCGCAGCTGTTCGGGCTCAGTGATGCCCCTGCTCCTTCAGCCCTGCCCCGAGGGCCCTTCGGGAGCCCCGTGGGGTCGTGGCTGGGGTGTGGCCAGGGGCGTGACCAGGGCGGGCCGGGCGGCGGCCCTGCCCCCTACCTGTGTTGTAGTGCTTGGTGCAGTATCTCAGGTCCTTCTCCTCCTTCAGGATGAACTGGGGCAGCGTCAGGCCATCCGCCACCTGCACGGCGCCCTGCTCCTGCCACTCGAAGATGAGGTCGTTCATGGTGTAGCCGACTGGGGGCAGAGCGGGGGTCAGGGCCCACAGCCTGCCCTCGGGGCGGGGCCGGGCTTGCTTTCCCTCAGGGGGGTGAAGGCCGGTCAGGGGCTCCCAGCGGCTTCCTCCCTGTGCGGCCGGCCCCGCCCCAGGCCACGTTGGTGTCCGAGCGCGCTGGCCTCTCCTGCCCACCGGGCCGCCCTCTGGGGCTGACCCCGCCCATGGGGCCGGAGTGGGTCTGGCCAGGGGCGCTGCGGGACCCGCGGCAAGTGACAGAAAGCTCCCCTGGGGCTCCCCGGGAGGGCGGCCAGAGCTGCCCCGGCCCTGCTGCCCAAGCGCACTGCCCGGTTTGTTTGTGCTTCAGCCGGTGAGGATCGGGCTGGCTTCTGAGTTGGCCGCAGAGACGTGCGCCTGCTGGCCTCTGCCCTGCCAGGCCTCCTCCTCCCTCTCCTCTCCAGCAGGGGACTCCCCAGCCCGGCCGTGCTGTCCCAAGCCCCCTCGTCTTCGCCCTCTCCCCTCCCTTCCCCTCTCTTGCCTCCCGAGTCTCTTCTCTGGGAGGCCACAGTCCGCCTTGAAGGCTCACGGCCCAGGCCAGCCCTTTGTGTGAGCTGGGCGGGAGGCCCCCGACAGGACGCCTTGCTCGCTCTCCCCCCAGCTGGAGCGCAGCGTCCAGGGCACCCGGACCGGCCTCCCCAAAGCCGGGGCTCGTCACACAGGATGTGGGGGGTGTATCGCTACTGTTTTCTAGAAGCCACACCCCTGTACTGGGCGTCCTGAGAGCAGCAGCCTCGGGAGCTCTCCAGCCCCGAGGGGTGGGGGTGGGGGTCTCATGCGAGGGACTCACAGCTCTCCAGCTGCATGATGCACGTCTGCACGTCCATGGGGAAATTCTTCAGGTCCATGGGGCAGGCGAGGGTCAGGGTGATCCTGGGAAGAGAAGGGGGCGCAGTGATGGCCCCATATCCATTCTCGTTACCCTCAGAAACCAGCCAGCTAGGAGAGGCTGAGGTGGTGGGGGGGGACTCTCCCTAAAAGACAGGTGTTTTCTCAACGTTCAGGTATGTGAGCTCAGAGAGGATGGTCCCAAAGCCACAGCGTCCGAACTTCTGGGTTTCGTTGGGAACCTACCTTAGGAAGCTGCCCGGGCCGCGGGGCCCCTCCCTGCTCTGCAGGGCCCTCAGAGGGGGGCGTGGGAGAGCTTGGCTGGCGGCCTCGGGCAGCCCGCTGCACCTGCTGTGGCGGGGAGTGGCTGTGTACCCCTTCTCCGGTGGGCGTGTCCAGACACAGCTGGCTGCATCTGGGGGCTCCCGCTGAGTCAGCTGCAGGCAGTGGAGCGCCAGGTTCCTGGGGGAACTGTTTCTTTGGGGTGATTTCCCCCTTCCCTGTGCAAAGCAGCAGCCTCAGAACTGAGTGGGTACCCTCAACAGAATGGAGGTGCCCTCCCAGGGAAGGCTTTCGGGGCCTGGGAGCCCGAGCTCGCCCAGCAGGCTCTCCTCTGCCAGCTGGGAAGGGGCGCAGGGGAGGGCAGGACTCCTGTTGAGCCAGGCCACGGGCTGGGGGCTCAGTCAGGGCTCCAAGTCCCTGCCTGAAGCTGAGACCCGTGCTGGCATTCAGCACTGCTCCGTGGACAGCTCCAAAGGGGGGGCGGCCCCCCCACAGGTACCTGCCCCAACCAGAGACTCGTGAGCCCCCCCACCTTCCCTCAGCTCAGCCTGTGCATCGTGGCCCTGAACACCAGTGCAGGCCAGAGGGGGCAGGGAAGGGGTTGGAGGCAGGGGAGGGTGGAGGGAGACAGAAGGGGGTGGGAAGGGGAGGGGACAGGGAAGAGGGTGGGTGCAGAGGAGGGGAGGGCCGGAAGGGGGGAGGGGGCAGTGGGGGAGGGGAGCAAGGCCGGTGCTCCAGGCTGAATTTTGAAGACAAAGGCTCCCGAGGGGCAGCTGTCACACTGGGCTCCTCTCCTGGCGTCCTGCGACCTTGGGGCGGCCTCTTTCTGCTGGTGCCCTGTCCCCCCTGGTGCGGGGCTCAACTGGCGGGAGACTACCTGCCCCGGTCCTGCCACCCCCCGCCACCCTGGGTGGCCCCCGTTCCTTAGGGCAGGGGGCGGGCTCGGGTTGCCCCTCTTCCTGCTGAGGGTCCCCGCGGGCCTCCCCCAGTGACTTCCGCCCTGTCGGCCTCTCCTAAGCGCAGGGCCGGCGAGCACCCCGTCCCCGGGCGCTGCAGGGAGGGCCACTCATGACCAGCGTAGCCACCCGTCCGGCCGTTGGTCCCTCCGTCCACCCAGCCTCAGGCAGCAGGGAACGCTGCACCCCTTCCTGGCTCCGAGGGCGGCATATGCGCCCACAGAATGGAATTCAGGCTCAGCTGCCAACCGGCTGCGGGAACCCGGGGTCCTCACCCTCTACTCTGCAACATGGGTGCTACGCCACTGGCCCGTGGGTCCGGGCGGCCAGGGGTCTGTGTGTGCCCCCGGTGCCCGCTGCTGGGCGCCGGCCATCTCCGTGCCTGGAGAGAAGAGCTGGGGTGCGTTGGGGGCATGCGCCCGGGTGAGGGGCCTGGAAGGGGCCCACCCAGCACCTGCCGACCCGGGGAGAGGACGGGCAGGCCTGAGGAGAGGCCCTGGGGGCGGCGGCCCAGCAGGCACCACCCGGGCTCTGTGCCTCCGGCCTGCTGCTCGCTAAGAAGCTGGCGGGGCGGCCAGCCGGGCGGCCCCCCACCCCCAGGGCGCTGGCACGGCGCGGGCACCCCGCCCTTGGGAGCTCGGGGCCGCGCCCCAGCCCCGGGTCTTCCCGCCAAGCGTCCGCCCGGGGCGCCTTCCGGGGTCCGAGTGACCCCGTCTCCGAGGTGCGTCCTCGCTGGCCCGGTACAAGGATCCCGTCCCGGGCATCTCGGGGTGCGCATCCTAGTGCGGGGGCGGCCCTCAGAGCTGGGTCTGCGGGTGTTGTAAGGCCGTGGGGTCCTCAGGCTGATCCCCCTCTCCTGGCCCCGCAGCTTTGGGCAGGTGGGCGGGGCGGGCAGGTGGGCGGGGCATCGGTAGGTGGGCGGGGCGTCGGGCAGGTGGGCGGGGTGTCGGCAGGTGGGCGGGGCGTCGGGCTAAGGGGCGGGGCAGGGAGCCGGGGCGGGAGCATGGGCCAGGGGCGGGGCTTATGGGCAGGGGCAGGATGGGTGGGCGGGGCGTCGGGCGGATGGGCGGGGAAGGGGCGGGGCGTCTGGCAGGCGGGCGGGGCGTCGGGCAGTGGGCGGGGCAGGGCAGGTGGGCGGGGCAGGGCAGGTGGGCGGGGCGTCGGGCAGGCGGGCGGGGCAGGGCAGGCGGGCGGGGCGTCGGGCAGTGGGCGGGGCGTCGGGCAGTGGGCGGGGCAGGGCAGGTGGGCGGGGCAGGGCAGGTGGGCGGGCGTCGGGCAGGCGGGCGGGGCAGGGCAGGCGGGCGGGGCGTCGGGCAGGTGGGCGGGCGCCGGGCAGGCGGGCGGGGCAGGGCAGGCGGGCGGGCGTCGGGCAGTGGGCGGGGCAGGGCAGTGGGCGGGCAGGGCAGGCGGGCGGGGCGTCGGGCAGGTGCGGGCTCACCGGATGCTGTAGAGGACGTTGCCGTTGCGCGAGATGCGCAGCAGCTTGTTGTCGGTGGTGATCTCGTGGAAGTGCGCGCCCTTCTCGTTGGCGAAGAACAGGTCGGGCTTCCAGATGGAGTCCAGCATGGAGGGGTCCAGGTCCAGGGAGTCGTCGGGGTACTCGTTGTAGGCCAGCCGGGGGTCGTTCCACTGCTGCCGCAGGAAGATGTTCACGCGGTAGTCCTGCAGCCGCAGGGGGGGTCGGTCGGCGGAGGCGGGGGGCTGCTGCGGGGGCGCGTGCGGGGCGGGCGCGGGCTCCGCGGGCAGCCCCGCCCGAGCGAGTGAACGGCGTCCTTCCTTCTAAGAATCTTAAAAGTGAAGTTGAGACCCCCGTGGCCGTGTCCCCCCGTCCTCGGGCGCCTGGGCCCGGCTGAGCAGCCCCCACGGGCGTGCTGCCCATGGGGGGGCCTGTCCCCCCAGCGCCGGGCGCTGGCTTGGTCTCCTCATCTCTGCGCCCGGGCAGAGGGGGCAGCCGGGCAGCTTTGTGCCTTGGATTCGACATGGAACACGTGTGTTCACGTCGGCGTGCGTGCGTGTGCCTGTCTGGGCATGTGCGTGGTCTCTGGGTCTGCACAGATGTGTAGACTGTGCATGGGAGTGTGTTGTGTGTGCTCATGTGTCTGTGAATTTCACAGCCCCGACTGCAGGGTGCATGTCAGGTCACAGGACAGTCCAGTGTCGTCGCGGCACCTACGGGCTGCTCCGGCCTCAGCGTGGCGCGGGAGGCCTGTGGTTCGCTTTCCTGCACATGTGGTCGAGCCCTGCGGGGTCCTGCCTGCCCCAGGCCTGCCGAGCCCCCAGCAGGGTGACCGGGGTCCCTGGAGGACTCTGCGCGTCTAGCGGGTGTGTCTGCAGCACCTGCACCAGGCGCCACGGGGCCAGCGTCCCCTCTAACGTGGGCCGGCGCTCCAGGAAGCCTGACTTAGACCCCATAGGGGGAGACAGGGAGCTGCCCCGGCGGGGGGAGGGGCCGGGAGGGGCGGTTTGGACTCCAGCTGAATTTGAAGTGGGGCCGGATGCTCTTGCATTTGCACTGTCACTGGTATTTAAAAATATTTTATTTTTTCTTATTATAAAAGTAAGTAAATGTTGATTTAAAACAATGTAAATGTGTATCACCTAAAAGGAGAAAGCTAGGACAGAACCAGAGGGTCTCTGCTGAGACCACTAACGGGACGTGGAGCCTGAGGTCTGGGGCACCCCCAACCCCGCTCTCTGGTGCTGGGCCCCCCTCCCTCCCCGGCGCCCCCTCCCTTCCCCACACCCGCCCCTCCCCCGCGCCCCTCAGCACTCCCAAGGGTTGTGGCCATTGATTTCTCCTCCTGGCTGGGAAGCCGTGGCAGGAACAGTCTGGAAGGATCGATGGGATCGCTGTCGTGGCCGGGAGCCAAGGCCGCCTGCCGTGTTGGACACGCAAGGTGCATGTTCACATCAGGGTTGGGGAGCACGCAGGAGCCCCCGGGGCCGGGCAGGAGGGAGTTCCGAGCTGTCCCCAGGCCCCCCAGCTCCCTACCCCTCCTCGGAGACTGGAATGGGGTGGCCGCCTGCCTGTGACCGAGCCGGCACACGGGATGAGGCTGCCCTGGGCCCGGCCCGGCCTCGGAGTCTCGGGCAGGGTCTCCTTCCTGGCCGGCTGCTCCGCTCAGCCTCGTGCCGGGAGGCTGGTGGGAGGTGTCAGAGAGCAGGGTGCTGGGAGCAGGGCGTGTCTCCACAGGCCCTCCGGGGGCAGGCGAGGCCAGGCTCACCACGGGGCTCGCCAGGTGCCATCAGCTGCTCCTGCTGGCTCCGGATACCTGCAGGCCGCTGTGACCTGCCAACACCTGGGCCTCCATGCCACCTCCATGCTCCAGCCCCTGCAGCCCGCCCTCTTGCTCTCGGCTTGGAGATGGCTTCCTGGGGGCGCGGGGTCTGGGGAAGCCCTAGGAGGCGGGCTTGGAGCCACCCGTCATGGACCCTCCTCTGAGGTCGCGTCTGGGAGGCCACTGTGCTGAGCTGTCAGAGCAGTGTGTGAGCCGAGATCGGGCGGGCGTGATGACGTGCCGGGAGAGACCTGGGCTCTGGGGCCAGCCCGTCCCCACGTGGGCGCCAGCTACGTGGCTGACCAGGTGGGACAGCAGTGTCCAGGAGGCCGGGCAGTGCCTCTTCACTGGCCGTGTGCAGAAGCCTGTTTCCAGCTGCCCTCACGTGCTTTGCAGATGTTGCTGCTCCGAAATAGCCCATGTGGCTATTTGACCTGTCTCGGGCCTGTCAGGGGTGACGTGGGGCCTGCCGTCTCCAGGGGCGCTGTGGCCTGCAGGTGACACGTGGAGCCTGCCCCCGGGGGGCAGAGGTGGAGGGGCTGGCGGGGGGAGTCCCAGCCCTACTCCGCTCAACCGGAACAGCTGCCTCAGGGTTGAGCAAAGCACTTCTGAGATTCTCCGGCTGGGCAGGCCCCATGCGTGCACAGGCTCGGGAGAGGAGCCCGTTCGTGGGGGTCGGGGGTTCCGCGGTAAGGGGCAGGGCCCCGTCCTGGGCTGGGAGGCGGAGCTGCTGGGCTCCAGGTGCGGGCAGGCTCCCCCCACAGTGCTGGGCAGCCACATGCCAGGCGTGTGGTCAGCAGTGCGGGCGGCCCTGGACGCAGAGATGTGGAGGGAGATGCATCTGTGCTCTCCATGGAAGCAGACTGGACCCAGCATGGCCCCCCGTGTCAGCTGCTGCCCGGGAGGTGGGCCCAGGATGCTGGCGGCTGGGTGGAGGCCCCAATGGACGTTGCTGAGGCCGTGGTCAAGGAGGAGGCAGGGGCCGGCGTGGTTGCTGGGGGTGTCCAGATGCCCCTGGAGGCCCCTCACGTGGAGGGCAGGTGTCGGGTGACGGGAGAAGGTGGGAAGATGGGCTTAAGGGGCGTCCGGCCACCTGAACTCTTGGCTCCGCTCGACGCCCCGACCCAGAAGCTGTCGGACAAGGGGCACGTGGCCCCGGCGTGGTGGCTGTCGTGTGTCTTGAGCTTCCAGCCCCAAAGGGGTGGGTGCCCCCTTGGTTTGGCTGTCCCCCCCGACACACCCTGATGACATAGCCCGACCTCCGCTGTCCTCTTTCTTGGGGGTGCAGGGCATGCCTGTCTGTGGGGGTCTCTCCAGGCCGAGGGCCGCCTGAGCACAGCCCCACGCCTTCAGAGGATGGAGACGCCAGTGTCCATCGATCTGGGCATGGGGTGTTGGTGGCTGCTGGTGGCGTTGCCTTGCTGGGCTGGACCAGAGCCTAAGGCCATGCGGGGGCTGTGGGGCTGGAGGGGGCCACGTGGGGCCACGCGGGACCATGGAGGACCCTGGCAAGGGTGGGAAGGATAAATGAAGAAACTCCTGGAGGCGCCCCCATGCCATGTGTCCTGCGCAGCGGCTCAGTTGCAGGCCTGGGACCGCATCCCCGAGGCACTGACCACAGTTGAGCTGCAGCTCCAGCCTGGTCCTGATGCCTGGTCGGGGTCTGTCCATTGCACCTTTGTGTCCACGGGTGTGGACTGTTGTCTGACGGGGGTCACCATGCACCAGGGCCAGTGTGCCCTGAGCCAGGCCTCCCCACCCCGCAGGAGAGGCCAGAGCACCTAGGAGTGGAACATCAGACACAGACACACGGACACACACACACGGACACACAGATACACACAGACACACACACGGACACACAGACAGACACACACAGACACACGGACACACAGACACACACAGACGCCAGACACACACAGAGACACACAGACACATAGATACACAGTGACACAGACAGACAGACATACACAGGTGTGCAGATACAGAGACACACAGCGATGGCAGAAACACAAATACACAGACACACATACACAGACATGCCCCCGTTTCCATGGCTCCACAGGACTCGGCTGTGGTCATGCCCATGTACACACTCACATGTGCACCACACATGAATCAACACACCTGTGCTTGCACACTGACACATCTGGAAACGCTCACACCCTGTCCGCATGTGCCCACACACACACACACACACACACACACACACAGGTGCTGTGCTGAGGGGCGTGCCCTCTGTGGGCACCACCACGGACACCACCAGCTACGCAGAGAGAACACACATGCACATCCAGCCACAGCCTCCCCGCCACATGCAGTGCACACACAGTACACACGCACACCCAGCCACACGCTCGTGGCACTCACACCATGGCACGGTGCCTATGCTTCTCTGCTCACAGCTGTTGACTTGGTCTAAACCTCGTGTCCACGCGCCTCTGTGGGAGTTTGTGCTGCCCCCGCACATGCACGTGCACACAGACTTGCAGGCGTGGCCTGCACACCCACGTATGCTCACAAGCACGTGTGTCTCGGCCGCGGGGTCCCGAGAGGAGACGGGTGGGGGTGCCCGCGCGGGGCGGACTTGCTCCACGCTGGTTCTGGGGCCACGTCCGTCCACGCTGGGCTTCGTGGTCCCCTGTCACCATAGATGGCCTCTCCAAGGCAATTTCCTGCAATTTCTTCCACCGCTGAGATTTTGGGGTCCCCCTGAGTCATCTGGAGGTTACGCGCATCCCCATGGAGCCCAGTGCCACGCCCGGTGGATGAGCAAGCAGGGACGGCCCCTGTTTTGGGCGAACTTAGCAGCCAGACACCACGTGTTGGGGGCTGCCCGCGTCCCTGTCTGCGCCCTCACTGGCCCCCACTGGCCACTGCTCCTCCGGGGGTGCGGAGCCCCCGCTGGCCACTGCTCCTCCGGGGGCGCGGAGCTGGTGTTGGGGTTTGCTCTGGGCCCTGCCAGAGGTGGTGGTGCTTGGGGTGCGGCTCCGCCCTCCGTGGGCATCTGGCCCTGGTCCCCGGCTCCAGGATGCGCGTCGCGGGCTCTGGGACCCCGAGCAGGGATGTGGTGTCTGGCTGTCAGGGTGGCCGCTGAGGCCCCGTCCTCTGGACGAGCCAGAGAGCGAGTCTGGAAGGCGGGAGACACACGACTGGGGGCCACGGGTCCTCGCTGTGCACTGAGCTCCGTCTGTGTAGCTGCCGGAAATGGTCACCCGGCCTGGGCGCTGCCCCGTCCCCATCTACAGAGGACGCCGCTGCCTGGGGCCGCCTCCCAGGGGGAGCCCGGCGGGGCCAAGCCCTGTCTTCGGGGCAGGTGCTTCTCCTCCTCAGCAGCAGGGAAGGCAGGCGAGGTGGCCCCAGAGAGGCCGGGGCCAGCGCCGGGCCAGGGGCTCCAGCATCCGCCGGAAACACAAGGGCCTCGGCTGACCTCCCTGCGGCGAGCGCTTCCCTGCACGCGTCCTCACCCACGACCTCGGCTGTGCCACGCAGGGTCACAGGCCGTGACCCAGGCCAGAGGCTCGTGGGCTGCGGCTCCCCCCACAGGCCCCGCTGGCCACTCGGCGGCGACGCCCGTCCTTACAGGAAGGAGCCCGTGTCAGGCGGGGGCCCGGCCGGCCCCTCCGGAGACCGGGCAGGGCAGAGACGCACCCGTGGCCTCAGCGCCGCCCCTGACGTTTTGGGGTCTGGATGCGGGACTCGTCATTCAGCAAAAAGTGGATGGCACCTGTCCCCCAGGGTGAGCCGCGCCGCCTGGCCCGGGCAGGGGCAGGGACTGGGCGCCCACGGTCGGGGCCGCTGTGAGCAGGGCCGGCTGCTCTGTCCCCGCAGCCCCAGAGCCTCCCTTCTCCACAGGGGCCGGTCACTCCCGCCAGCACCCTCCACAGCTGCTTTCAGGCACCGAGAGCTAAACCCTTAACGTATCGTCACGTTTATTTGCAATCATTCATCTCACGCTCCCGCGGCAATTTGAAAAATGTAGCAACAACGGAAGCAGAAAATAGGAGCTTCCCGGGAGGCCGCGGCCCGGGCAGCCGCGGGGGCGACGGTCTCTGCTTCTCTCTCTACCTAGCGCCGCGCTGGGTCTTAATGGCCCCGCGCGGGGCTGCTGGACGCCGCCATGGCAGGAGGCCCGAGACCCCCGCCGCGGTCCCCCCGCCAGCCCGTCACCCGCCCCGGCAGCCCCTCGGAACAGGCGGCTGCCCCGCGACCCCGGGGCGGGCCTCCCCCAGGTCACCACCACGGCGCAGCCTGAACGCCCTGGCCGCGCGGGGTCCGGCCTCCGCGCACTCACCATGGTTGTCTCTGCGATGGAGCCGAAGCTGTTGATGAAGATGTTGCAGCTGACGTTCACCGGGGGACCTGCCGGCGGGGAGGGGCCGCTGAGTGCGCCGCAGGCCCAGCCTGGGGCGGCCCCTTCCTGGGTGCGGGAGGGTGCCCGGGCCAGGGCGGCCCTGTGTGCCCCCACCCCGCCGGGCCCCCACCCATCTCAAGGCCGGGGGCCGCGCAGGCCCAGGCACGGAGCCCTCGGTGGCTCATCACCCTCCGCAGGGCCGGAGCCCGCTGGCCCCACCGGCCGCCAGGTGTCCGCGCGGCTCCGGCACTCGGAGGCCATCTGGGCACCCGCCAGGAACGGCGAGTTCTTTGCCTTGAACTCCTGAGCCGAGCGCGGTTGCCTGGGAGGGCGCCGGGGCGCGGGGGTCTGGGGTCTGGGGCCCTTATGCGCCTTCCAGGCAGCGTCTCCAGTCCCGCCCCAAGGAGAAGGGAGTGTGGGAGTCTCTTGGGGGGACCTCCGTGCCCCGTTGTCATGACGGTGGCCCTGTCATCCTTTGGGAGTCTGGCGGGATCTGCTGTTGTGCGGCGCTGGCCGCCCCGCCTGCCCCACCCCCGGGCCGGGGGAAGCCTCTGCCCTCACCTTACGCAGCAGATGGCCGGACAGGCCAGCGTGACCTGGTAGTAAGCGCTCGGGGTGGGGGGTCCCCCATCTGCTCCCAGAGCTGGGCGCGCGAGCTCACGGCTGCTGCCGTGGTTTGGGAGGTGGTTTGGAGAGAGGAGGGTCACAGTCAAGGTGGGGGGAGGCCGTGAGATTCCGGCTTCGGGGAGCTGAGCGGAGGGCAGTGGTGCCCTGGAGGGCGGGGTGTGCAGAGGGCGGGGCGGAGGTGTGGGGGGCGTCGGGGGAGCCCACATGACACGGTGGTCTTGAACTGACCTTGAGGACTGAGGGGATAGCCCTTCCCGGGAGGGTTGCGGGGAGCATCTCCTGCTGGTCCCGGGAGCCCCAGGCCGGAGGGGCAGCATGTGTTTGAGGACCCCCTGGACCCCTGGGCCCCCAAGCAGAGGGCCGGGACCCCAGCCTGAGCTTCCAGGTGTGGGAGGGAGGCAGAGGCGCTGACCCACTGCCCGTGGCGCCAGCCCCTCCTGCGTCAGCCCTGGCTCTCGCCCATCTGGGCACACGCCTGGCTTGGGCAGCTGCGGCCGGAGGGCCTGGCCCAGCCAGCTCGCAGGTCTTTCTCTGGGGGCCCAGCCCCGGCTTGCAGCCCTGGGCCTGCACCTCAGGCAGCCAGACCCTTCTCTGGGTCACGGCATGTGGGGCGCCTGGAGGGAGGCGCTCCCTGGGGACACTGTCTACGGGCCTCGCTCCTGGGTTCCAGCCTGGGCTCTCCTGCAAGGCCCCTCCCAGGACCTTCCCGAGCTGCCTGCTCTCCTGGAGGGTCCCCGGAGGAGGCCTGGCTGCCGAGACCTGCCCTGCAGCCCAGGGCCATTGTCTGCCAGCTCCCTGGGGGCCCTGCCCTCTGGGCCGGGCTAGGGGCCAGCGCCCTGGACACCGCTGCGGGCCTTCTTGGGCAGCGCCTTCCCAGCAGCGCCCCGTTCCCACTCCTGCTCTGCCGCCTCCCGCTCTGCCCGGCTCCTTCCACGCGGCTCAGGCCCGGGGCTCCCCCTCGCGTTCCCAGCCCCACTCTGTGGTCTCCTTTGCCTCCTAAAGGTAAGACGCCCTGAGTTACTGCAGGCCCCGGAGGGTCAGAGCCCCGAGGCTGCCGGGCGGTGCCGTAGCTCCCAGAGGAGCTGGGTCCTGATTTGCGGGTGCAGGAGGGCGCTGCTGAGAGGCCCTGGGGGCGCGGTTCACTGAGCTAAATCTGAAACTAAATTATCCTGGAGAAAATCACAGTGCGACGCCTTCGGTGGCGGGTGGTGCACAGATTCCATGAAATATTAAAGTTTAATTTTGACTGCGGCGGCGTCCGTGCTGGTGCACCCCCGGCCTGGAGGCCCGGAGAGCTCTGGGGGCAGCCGGCCCGAGGGACGGTCACTCCGTGGGGCACACTGAGGCCGGACACTTGGGGGTCCTCAGGCCAGTGGGGACCAGACCCCCCTTGGCGCCCCGTCCTGCCTTCCCTGCCACACAGCCGTGCGCTCCGGCCCCCACCCCTGCCCTGCAGAGTGTCCGGCCGGGCCCCCGGCCCAGCAGGCCCCTTCGGGGGGCTCCCGGGCCACGCGGCCCCCGTGTGCAGGGTCACAGGGCTGCGCTGCTTGCCCTCCTGGGTGCCCTGGCTTGAGGGGGCCTTGGGTGGGGCTGCGTTGGTGCGGGGGAAGGGTGAGGGGCTGGTCGGTGGGGCTCGGGCAGCCTGGCCGCCTGCTCGTGGGCCCAGGGCGGGCGCATGCGGGGTGCCTGGATGTGGCTGTCCGTGGCCCTCTCCTGTGGTTTTACCCACACGCTGGCCGGGTTGCGGCAGCACAGTTGGGTTGGATTCCTAAGCTTTGTGGGGTGCGGGGGCCAGTGGGACGGCCATGCCGGGGCAGCTGCGGGGAGGGGGGAGGGGCCGGGCTCCTGCCTGCCACCTGCCGCAGCGCCGCACCCCTCTCCTGTGCCCGGGCAGGGCTGGACGGACATTTTCTCTACCTTTGAAGTTGGGCCTGATCCTGGCGTCGTATCCGGACGTCCTCCCCATCAGCTTGTCCAGGAAATCCGAGGGGGACATGGCCTTGGGTGTGGAGCGGGCAGCGTCGGCCTCCTTAGAAGCGGCCAGGCTGGGAGAGAGAGGAAGGTGGAGGGTGACTCTCCCTGCACGGTCCCAGCCTGGGCGTGTCCTGATGTATGTTGGCTGCAGCTCAGCCCACCTTGCCCCCAAGGTCGGGGCTTCCTATGAGGTCGGGGCCTTGAGGTGCAGTGGGCGTGGCCCCTGCAAGCGCGACCCCCAAGCCCCTGGGGCCCTCACAGACGGTCTTTTTGAGGCGCCCAGCACACTCAGGCTGAGCAGCGCCTGCTAAGTGGCTCCGGTGCCTGCCCCTGCAGGGGTTGCCGAGCCCAGCAAGCAGCTGGGCGTCAGTGTGGGGCGCCTCGGCAGAGCAGCCCCATCCTGGCCCTGACACCGCAGGCCACCCTGGGCGACGCCCGCTGACCTGCAGGGGCACAGACACTTCCATCTCTTAGCACATCCACAGCCCCCAGAGCGCCCGGCCCCAGTGCCCCGTCAGCTGTCCTCACGCTTCTCCCTTGTCACCGATGCCAGCCCCACGACAGCCGCCCCTGCACCCCAATGTCCCCCCTCACTTGGGAAGTGTCCCCGCACCTCCCCCTCCGGGCCCTCTGCAGTCTGGCCCCTGCAGAGGCTTGAGCCAGTGACGTCGGGCAGAAGATAGCCTCAGCCGAGGAGGAGCGGCACCAGGACAAGCACAGATGAGCACGTGCAGGGCTGAGGGCGTGACCGCCGCCACCCCCACTTCACTGCGCGCCCGCCCAGCCCCTGCACGACCCCGAGTCCAGGCGAGGCTCCAGGGGAGGCTCAGACAGAGCCCACAGCACGCTTGAAGCTCTCTCTGGAGGCGGCTCCCCACGGCCCTCCCGGGGACAGAGGCCTGCAAGCGCCGAGGGATGCTCTGCCCCCTGCTTGCCTGTCTCATGACTCAGACTCAGCGGGAGAATCCAGGAGCTCTGGGGGCCGTAAAGTGCGGGCCTGGTGCAGCCTGAAGCCTGCTCGTGCGCACGCCTCAGCGTGTGGGTCCATTCCAGTCCAGAGCTTCCAGCCTTGCCCCTGTGGCAGCGCCTCCATGACAGCACCACGCTGAGGTGACGCCCAGGTGGCCTGCTTGAGGTCCTGGCGCAGGGCAGCACCTGGCCAGCACCCCAGAGCCGGTCGCGGCAGCAGCTCCTTGATGAGGGAGACACTCCAGAAAGGCGGGGGCAGGAGTGACCCCTTCTTGGCTACTATTAAATCACCTCTCAGAATTTCCCCGTAGTTACTATTCTAGGGGTCAGGGATGGTTTAATAGACACAGATCAATCCCTATAACACACCACGGCAACACTAAGAAAGGGTAGAAGTCACAGGGTACACACCAGGCCGCCGGGGGGTTGTCTGCGACCTACAGCCCCACTTAGGGTAGAAGCAGCAGGTTAGGTGGGCTAGGAGGGACCCCTCAGTAGGACAAAGGTTGTGCATGACAAACCCCAGGTCACTATTATATGGACCGGTGGAAAACTGAAATCTTTCCCTGCAAAACCAGGAACAAGGCAAAGGATGCCCGTGTCACTTCTTCCGCCTAATCAAGTATTAGCCGTCTTGCTTAGCCAGTCAAAAGCATGAAGTTAAAGGAATCCAATTGAAAAAGATTTGCAGACAATGTATTACATGTAGAAAGTCCTAAATATCAAAAAACTGTTAGAAAAAAATAACTGAATATAGTAAAGTGGGAAGATACATTATCGACATACAAGTGTGTTGCATTTTTATATGCAAATAATGAGTGAGAAGAAAAAGAAACTAAGAAAATAATTCCATTCACAATCACATGAAAAAGAATTAAATACATGGGAATCAATCTCACTAAGGAGGTGAAGGATTTATACAACATAAACTACGGGACATTATTAAAAGATAAAGAACAAAAAATAGAGATGTTCTTCTCGCCGTGTTCATGGAAGGAGCATCGATATAGTCAAAATGACTCTATTACGAAAAACAATGTGTGGATTTGATGTAATCCCCATTCAAATTTCAAATATATTCTTCAATAAATTGACTAAAAATCAGTAAAATTTATACGGAACCATAAAGACTGTACATAGCTAAAGTCGTCCTCAGAAAAAAAAGAAAAATGGAGATACTGTGTTTCTTGATTTTAAATTCTATTATAAAGCAACACTAATTAAAACAAAGTGGCAGTGGGCAGCTCTCCGGCCACCTGTGACTGTGCACGTGCCTTTTTCTCTCTCTCCTTTTCCTAGTAACCCTGTCCTTTCAGAGTGTAAAAGAACAACAGTGGGCCTCCCCGGTGGCGCAGCGGTTGAGCACTGGGCTGCGAAGCTGCCCGCAGCCTCTGCAGCGCCGGTTCGATCCCCGGCCACCGGCGAGGGTCCCGCATGGCGCGCAGACCTCTCCTGCTGCGCCCGCTGCTCCCCTCAGCAGTGTCCTTCGGTCCTTCTGCCTGCTCTGCTCCCCGCTCTGGCTCTGGTGGATTCTCTCACCCTCCCGCGCTTCCCACTGTACCCGGTGCTTGTGTAAATAAATAAATAAATCTTAAAAAAAAAAAAAGGGAAAGAAAAACAACAATTAAAAAACCCCAAACAATATGGCGTTGGAATAAAAATAGACACAAGATCAATGGGGCAGAGTTGAAAGCCCAGAAATGAGCCCGTGCATGTACAATACTAGTTAATGACTGAGGCGTGAGGTCTACGCCATGGAGAAAGCGGAGCCTTTCGTGACAAGCGGAGCTGGGACTTCTGGACGCCACATGTGAAAGAACAAAGCTGGGTCACTCTCTAATTCCACACACAAACGTAAATTCAAACTGGATTAAGGATTTAAAAAGAAGACCCAAAACAATAAAATACATGGACAGAAACACTGGTGCCCGCGTGGAAACGCCACGGCGTCGAAGTAATGCCCCACAGCAAGGGGAATAAAAGCAAAAACAAACAAGTGGGATCATCTCACATGTAAAAGCTTTTCCACAGAGAAAGAAAATATTAGCAGATTGAAAAGATCGACTGATTAAAAGAAGCTTTTTATGCATCACACGTCCACGGCACACAGCGAGCACGTCCAGCCTGACAGAAGGGGAGGCAGCCCAACCGGACAGACAGCAGGGTCCGAGTGGACAGTCCACCAAAGACGAGGCCAGGAGGCCAACAGCCCAGAAAAAAATGCTGACTCTCGCTTCTAGCAAGGGACAGCCGGTCGCCACCACGGTGAGATGCCACCTCACCACTTGAGGACGGAAACTCAGGGGTGCCGTGAGGAAGGAGCCATGTGGTGGGAGGGGGAGCTGGTGCGACCCCTGGGGTCCTGGATGGCCGCGGGGCTCCCATGGTTGGGGTCTGGCCAAGGGACATCAGCTTCAGCTAGAGCCCGTGCCCTCGTGGTCACTGCAGCGCTGGACGTGGACGCAGCCGCCTCACCTCACAGTGTGGAACTGGCTCCGGCCGAATCAGGGGGATGGGATCATGGCTGCTGATGGTCAGGCACCCCGCGGGGGCCAGGACCTCCCCCAGGGGGCCAGCACCCTGCAGGTGGACGGGCATGAGTGTTATCTGTGCTCTTTGACTTGCACAAAAGGAAGAGCCGCTGCTTCTCTGTTTCCAGAGAAGTGGAGCGAGGCGGGGATGGTGGTTTGCGGCGCACCCTGGGGCCCCTCACGGGAGGGCTTGGGTGCGGCCTGGGCAGCATCCAGATGTGCTGGGAGGCTGGTCCTGCTTGCGTCTGCCCATAGCTCTGCTCGTCTGTGGCTGAGAACAGGCTGCTGTAGGGAGACTCTGAGGGGAATTCGGGCGTGCCGAGGGCCCCAAGCTGGCAGGGAGGGGCTGGCCAGCCCGGCGCCAGGGTGGGGGCTGCAGCACAGGCCGCCGGGTCCTGAGGGCTCTCCAAGGCTTCTTGCCTTCCTGCCCTGCGCCCCCAGCTCTCGGGGCGTGCTGGTGCCTGGAACACTGTGGACGCGCCATCTGACTGCATGGATCCAGAGCACTGGCTGACCTGGGCTGTGAGGGGGCGTGGGTGGGAGCTTCTGGAGGCTTCTCTGCATCGCCCCCCACCCCCAGCAGCAGCGCCTGGTGGACAGGTGGCTCTGGCCACTCCCTGGCATAGCCAGTACCCACTAAATTAATAGCATCACTTTGGCCATTCAATCCATAGGATTAAGATCCTCTGATGTAACGGAGGAGTCGGTGCCCAGGTGGACACCGTCCAGCCAGGCGTCCTCCCGGCTGGCCGGCTGCCTCGGACAGGGCTCTCTCCACCCTCCGGCGAGGAGCATTTCCTCTGGTGATGAAAGTAATGAGTGCACACTGGAAAAGTACAGCCGGTCCACAGGGCGAGGAGGCCCACCTGGAAATCCTCTTAACTATTTCTTTGAGTTTCTGACGCTTTCCACGGGGCCCGTGGCGGAGCTGACAGGACGGGGGAGCTCGGGGTCCCCAAGTCCCTTGCACCTCACATCACGTTTTGCCCAAATCAAGATTCTTATTTCTTTGGCTCGTGTAGGGTAGGAGAGAAGGTGCCAGGCTGCCCTCTCCCGCCGTCAGCGTTGACGAGGGATCCCTGCGGCCCTACACGCGTGGCTGAGGGCGGCACCTGGAGTGGGTGTGGGCAGCGTAGGTGGGCGCACCTGGGCTGAGACTGGCTTATAGGGGTGGCGTCACGGAGACATCAGTGGAACGGAACCAGCAGAAGAGGGGACTAAGAGCAGCAACAGAGCAGGAGCAGAGCAGGGGAGCAGCGGGCGCCGTGAGAGACCCCGAGAGCCCAGGAGGAGTGAGGACTCGCTGGGGCTGGGAGGCCTACCAGCCTCCCGGCACCCCTGCCGGCCCCCCGACCCCCTGCCTGCCTCCCAGCCCCCGGGCCCCCTGCCTGCCGCGTACCTGGTAAAAGCTCAACAAAAGCCTGAAAAGCCACCGAGGGCTCCGGGACTCTCCTGACCCGTCTGCCCGGGTATAGAGACCCTGCTCTGTGCCTTGCCGGCCCGACAGCTCGTGAGCTGTGTTCCGCTTACGGTGAACTTTATCAGCATTCTAGCAGAATCGGCCAGCTCCGGCGCCTGGTAAAACAGGATTCACGGCAAAGAAAACCATCCAGCCCCGCTGACATCCCACTGTGCTCCGTGGACTTAGGGGTGACTCGGGTCAGGCCCCCGTCCTCGCTGGCCTGGGTATCGCCCACTGTCGGCTCCCCTCTGGCCTCGGCGCCCCCGGGGGCGGGGGCAGGGGCTGGTCCTGGTCCTGAGCAGGAGGGTTCCTTGCAAACGCGCACAGGAACGGGCCACGCAGCCTCCTGTCCAGAGAGCCCCGCGTTCCTGCTTTGCCTTCCTCCTGTGGGGGCCGCCCGGTGGGGCCATCCCCCACCGCCTCACAGAGGAGGGGAGGGGCTCAGGGTTCACAGCCCGCTGGCCCCTCACAGGCCAGACCACCCTCCCCACCCCCCGCCGGGTTTCCTGGAGACAACTTGATTTCAGGGTGATGCGAGGCCAGAGGGGCGGCTGTGCAGCCTGGAAGGAGCAGGTCGGGCCGGCCGTGTGGAGAGGGCAGCAAGGGCCAGGAGAGGTGGGTGCAGACCGACGGCACACAGGGCACCCCCTGTCCTGGTGTGTGCCCGGGACCTGCCCATCTGTCACACGGACGAGGTGGGTGGAGCGACGGGCTGGCTCCGTGGGGCTGGGGGCGCTGGCCCTCTCCCAGGCTGCCCAGCTTGAGGCCCACGCGCGGAGCCTGCGTCCACTCTCTGCCGCTCTCTGCCCCGAGCCGCCGTCCTCGGGCACCAGACAGGCCTTCCTTGGCCCCGAGCGGAGTTTCCTGCCCCGTGTTCGGGTCTTGACGGTGGAGCCCAGGACTGCTGCACCGCTAAGACTGTCCCTGTCCTGAGGCCTCTGAGGGGGCCTGTCCAGGCTGGGAGCAGCCTTCCCGGGTGGGTGTGCAGCACGCAGCACGGATGTTGGGGGCCGGGGCTGGCACCGGCCGGCCCCACTACACAGGCAGGCCGACCGGGCCCCCAGCTGTTCACTGTGGAGCAGGACAGGGGTCACAGTGAGGCCCAGCAGGACTGTGGGGCGTGGGCCGGGCTGCTGCGGGACCAGGGAGCGGGGGACGTCTCTGACTGGGTGCACATGCCTGTCTGGCCCACGTGCTCTCTGGGGGCACACCAGGGTGTGCCCCTGTTTCACATGCACCCGGGGCCTGGCCAGTTCACAGCCCCGCAGGACACGGTCCAGGGGGTCAGTGTGATGCTACAGCTTGGGGCCAGGAAGGCGTGTCGTGCCATGGGGTGGGACAGGAGGCCTGTGCTTCCCCCAGGAGGCCATGGCTGGAGGCAGCCTCAAGGCTGAGCTGGACCTGGGCAGGGCAGGGCCCACCTGCCCGTGCTGCTCAGTCCTAAAGTGATGGGTCATCAGGATCCTTTCACACTGCAGACGACTCTCGGGGAGACTGAAATGCTGCAGACGAAGGGGGAGAAGCATCTGAAGGGCAGATTGGCGCGTCTGTGGGTGGAGTGGGCGGGGGCAGCCCGGGGTGCAGTGCGTGGCTCCGGGGGGGGCTCCCAGATGGTGCAGTCAGGGTGTGTGGGCTTTGGGGGCGCCCAGGCGGGGCGGTCAGGGCGTGTGGGCAGGATGGGCAGTGATGAGCTGCGCGTTGCCTGAGGGGCCAGCGTGGTTTGTTGTGGCCACTGCCCCCACCTCTCTCTCCCCACTTCCAACGGGGTGCTGCCTCTGTCCTGTGTGCTCCCCGGGGCCTGGACGCTCACGCAGGGGCGTGGCTGTGAGACAGTGAGCTGGGCTGCTTTTGAGAGAGAGGCCCGGGCGCTGCTGCCCAGGGGCTGCACATGGCGGGGCGGGGCACAGGGCTTCTCTCTGGACTCAGGCCCTGAGCGCTCTGCAGAGGGATGGAGAGGTCAGGGGCAGGAGAGGGAGGGATGGGGCTCTGGTCGACGATGGGCGGAGGAAGGGGCGCAGTCTCTGAGCAGTGGGGTCCTGGCCTCCCGTCACGCTGTACAGAGTGCCTCGGGGTGCCGGGCCACCCCCTCCATCAGTCCCACAGGCCCCCTGTGGGGTCCCTTTTCCCAGCCACATCCCCAGCCATGGGACAAGAGCTGTAGGGACCCGCCCACCCCTTTCGGATGGGGCCATCTGAGGACCCTTCCCAGGCGAGGCTCGTGCATGGGCGGGCAGGGCCCCGGGTGCCGTGCTTTCGGGCTGGCTGGTGGGAGCACTCGGGGCTGTGCGGGTGTGGGCGGGGCCTCCTTCACCCCAGGGCCCTTTACGGCTCCTCCTCCACAGAGTGACGCAGTAGATGGCATCAGGCGCCCCAGGCCCCCGTTGGCACCACGGAGTCTCCCCACTCAGACCTTGGCCCCTGAGGTGCGTGTTTGGGGGCTGAGAGCACCACAGTGCCACAGCCCCCCCCCCCCCAGGCTGGCATCAGCACCTCCTCCCTGGGCCTCAGGGACATGCTGGCCTGGATGCTGGGGCTGGGGCTGCAGAGCCCTCAGCCTCACTGCCGTCCCCGGGGATTCCGCCTCGGGCCTCTGCTGTGGCTGCATTTCTGCCCAGTCCCTGCCGAGTGGCAGGACAGAGCGGGTGTGAGGCTGACCGGCCATGGGCTGCGTCCCCAGGACACAGCTCTGAGTGTCTGCGGTCGCCCCAGGCGAGGCGGAGGGGCCGCCGGCCACTTCTCAGCCGGTGGTGACTGCTTTACCGTTAAGACTAAACTCATTTAGCAACAGACACTGAGAAACAGCCGAATTCAAAAGCGGGAGGTAATCTAATCGCGCTGAATTAGCCTGGGGAGACCCGGGGCCGTATCCACCCGCCGTATCCACTCAGGAAGCCACAAAGGGCCCTTTTATGAGGCCTTTCAAAGGCTCTGGGGCCCCAGGCCCCCAGCGCCCCCAGGGCCACCTCCCCAGCCTGGCGCTGCAGAGCCGGAGGCCGGCCCTCCTGGGCCTTTGTTCCCGGCGAGGTCTGGGGAGGCGCAGGCTGGGACAGACATCCTGTGCTCGGCCCACGGCCTGTCTGGGCCGGTCCCTGGCAGGCGGCCGCGGGCGCTGCTGTCCCAGGCCGCTCTGGTCCCGAAACCGGCTCTTACATAACCAAGGTGACCTCCTTCCAAGGGCCCTGTGGCGAGGCCTGGGTCTTCGTGGCCTGGTGTTATCCGGGCCATTTCGTTATCCAAGGGGGGCAGGCCTGAGTGTGGGGGCGCGGGGGGTCCTGGCCCTCACAGAGACCAGCTCGGCAGCCCCTGCATCCCGTCCACTTTGGGCAGCAAATCACAAGTCACAGTCCCCCCGGCTGGCTTCTCCCCGGAGGCTTCTCCCCGGAGGCGGACTTGGTCTCTGCTCACACACCTGCACCCACGGGCTCCCTCCTGCCCCGGCCCGCTGCCCTGTTCCTGCCAGAAGGCGCCAGGCCCCGCGGAGCCAGAGTCGCCCGCACGAAGGACATTGTCGGTTCATCCCCACGCTTCTTTGGAGGACAGAGAATAAATCACAGGTAGCATTTCCCAAGTAGGGTCCCTGGGCACCTGGCGGCTCATTCACTAGTAACACGAGGACCCAGAAGCCTTTCTAAACACTTCAAAGACGCTGAGAGGCCGAGATTTGCTCTGACATGGCCTGAGGGCCACCAGAGCCTCTGTCCTCACTCTGCGGTCAGCTCCAGGGGCAGTGGGCTTCTCCCCATGGCCAGCACAGCTGACACCATGGTGCCCTTGGTGGGTAAGATGTGGAAATAAGTTAATGATGAATGGGTTTGGCAAACAAAGTAACAAAAGAATAGCCTTTTGGAGGAGGAGCCCCTCCTCCACAGATCACTGCTTAGAAGGGGGAGGGCGGGGGAAGGGCGGGAGGGAGGAGGGAGACTTTCTTCACTTGAAAGCTGGGGCCTGAGGGTGGGTCACGCGTGTGCTGGATTCTGGACCCTGTCTCCGCCCTTTGGCCCGAGGCTGCTTTGCCCAAAGCAGCAGAAACCCGCAGAGCAGCGCAGGCCGGCCAGCGGCAGTCGCCATCCATCTCAGAAATCACCCTGGTGCTGCCGCTGACGGAGGAGTGAAGTCAGGGACGCACACAGGCGCGACAGTCACGGGAGGCAGGCTGTCCCTGGAGAGGCTCGGGGGCCCCTTTGAAGGGAGCCGCGTCCCCCTCTCTGCAAGGACAGGCTGCGCCTGTGGCCTCCATCTTCCCTGCAGAGGCGGGCTTGGGACATTCTGCCCGTTAGGGGGAAGCCAGGCTCGGGAAGGGGGTTGTGGTGGGGCCTCTCGCTCTACTGGAGATGTCGCCTGAGGCTGAAGGGAGCGCAGAGGGCGGAGCCAGTGTCTGGGCTGGGAGGAAACTGAGTCCCGGGGGAGGGAGAGCTGGGGGAGGGGAGGGAGAGCTGGGGGTGGGCTGGGGGCAGCAGCTGCTGCAGCGAGGGGCTGCCCAGGGGCCTTGACGTCCCTGTCACTGGGTGGTCTCAGATGCCAGCTCTTGGATGGTCCCCAGAGGTCAGGGACCTGCAAGTGTGCCCACTCCGCGCCACGTCACCAGCCTGTAGGCCGCATCAAGGCCCCCACCGAGAAAACGCGCTTGTCCCCGTCCAGGTCCTCAGGGTTGTGGCTGCCCTGATGCACGTTGGGCAGCCGGGTCTCTCCCTAGGAAAAAGGCCTTGGCCCTTCCAGAAGCTCCGAGACGCTCCCTGCTGTGGCCAAATGCTGAGGGTAAGGTCTGGGGGATGTGGCTGTGCCCTCAGGTGGAGACGGCCAGGGTCACTGGCCCTGGCTGGAGCGTGGAGACACGGAGGCCGGGGGGCCCTGCCGTGGAAAACCTTCCAGCTAGGGGCTCAGAGCCAAGGAGTGAGACAGCCCACCCGCCAGGTCCCCCGGCCCTCTGTGTGCAGAGCGCCTCCTGGGGTGGCGAGCTCTCGGCCAGCGAGGGCCCCTCTGTCCAGGCGAGCGGGCAGCACCCGCGGGGCAGCCACCAGGACAGGCGGGCTCCCCTCTTGCTCGGCTGCCGCTCACGTGCAGACAGGCCCTTTGTGCTCGTTGGCGCTGCGTGTGTTTCAGGAGGGGCTTTGCTGCTGGCTGTCGTTAGTCCACGGGAGCAGCTGACTGACAGCCCTGGCCGCCCTGCCCAGGGCCCCTGGCGGGCAGTTGTGCCCCCACCGCCCAGTTTGTTACAGGGGGAGGGGCAGCTCCGGCACCATGGCCGCTGCTGGACGCCTTCCAGGGCACAGGACCGTCCTCAAACAAAGGCCGTCCTGCTCGTGGGCCCAGATGGGCAATGCAGTGACGGGACGCAGGTTTACTCCGGTTACCCGGGAGGTGAGAGCCTTCCCGGGTCGCCCTGAGCCCCTGCAAGGGCTCTGGGGATCCAAACAAGGCCCCTCGCTGGCACTAGCCGGGAGGCAGTGCCCTCTCCCGTTGTCCTGACCAGGCTGTGGACGGGCCCATCGCTGCGGAAAGGCCCATCTCGGACCTCTGGCCTTTAAGCACCAGGCGGGCTCCGGCCAGATGGCTGCACCTTCCGTGGGCTGGGGTGTGGCGGTGCCAGGGCCCGGGACCCGCGGCTCCGGCTTGCTCCTCCTCTGCCCTCCCCGCCCTCTGCTCGGTTTGTTTTGCCGTCACTGTTGCCGCCTCGCAGGCAGGCTCCACGCTGGTGCGGCAGCGCTAGTGCAGTCAGAGGCCTCCTTCTGCCCCTGGGCTCCCGCCCCCGCAGGGCCGGCACCGGGCATCACTTAATGGAAAGAGACCTGGGCGCCGAGATAACCGGACTGGCCCGTCCGCTCAGGGCCTGCCCTGGGAGGAGGGCTGTTCCCAGGGGCCCGCCGGGAGCCGCCCCGCCTGCATCCTGACAAGCCCCGTCTATAGCGTCCCCTGAAGTCTGCGGAATGGGAGTCAGGCTGGAAATGCCGCGTAGACGGAGAGCCCCCAGCGCCTTCCCTCCTGCCCCCAGCTCTCTGGACAATTTCCGAGGGCACGTCCTTAGCTCGAGTTTGTTTTTTGTTATGTTTCCAGACATTTCCCAAACAACAGTCCCTCCGGGGGACGGTGCCCGCCCCGCCCCCACCCCTGCGGCCATGACGCCGCCCCCGAGCGTGGGCGCGGGCAGCGGTGAGGCCCTAGGAGCTCCCTGGAGGAACGAGCCAGGGGCCTGTGTTTCGGGTACGGGGTCAGCTGCCAGCCTGCGGGCCCGTGTCTCCCTTTGCGGCAGGCACTGCCCAGGAGCGGGAAGCAAGCGTAACCCACTGCTAGTCAAGGCGGGGAGGCAGGCGGGGGCGGTGTGTTTGGTCCTATTAATTTGCTCTTTAATCTCTCTGGCTCAGCCGTCCGGGTAAGCCAAACGGAGAATCAATTTGCACACGAACGTTACCAGCACCCACCTCTGCGGCGTCTCCCAGTCCTCGGGGCTGGGGGAGACAGCACCTGATACCCTCGTCAAGCTGCAGGGCCTCCCTGCCCTCTCCCCTGAGGAAGCGGCTCCTCTCAGGCCGGCCCTTGCACTTTCTCCGTTCTGACTCCCTGGCTATTTGCACCCGGGTGGTGGGCAGAGCTGGGCCTACCCAAGAATTATTTGGACCAGAGATTATAAGCTTTAGCACTGGGCACCTCAGGACGGTTGTGACCATCTCCAAAGAAGGCATGAAGAGAGGCTCACGCACCCTCCCAATTGGGGGGGGGTCATTCATTTAATAAACCAGCCAGCGTGTCTGTCAAAGATACCACACTGTACGTGTGGGGTTCTCTACAATGTGTAAAAAATTATTTGCTGTTTTACGATAGGAGAGAATGACATTCGGTGTTTACTCATTTTTTTAAAAACGCGGAGCGGGTTTCTCCAGTGACTGTGAAGCCAGCGCCGGCACCTCGTGAGAGGCAGGCATCGCACGCAAGCAAGATTGATGGTCTCTGCAGGCCGTGGAAGAAGAACCATTTTTTTCAATTCATAGAAATGGAGTTTATCATAAGCATCTCTGAGGACGGCACGGTCCAGCACTTCCAGGGGGACTGTCTCTATCAGTGCTTCCCAAAGAGGTGATTTTTCACTTTCCCTTGTGCCAGCATAAGCTGAGCCTGTAGGTAGGAGATTTCAGCTTGGGAGCCAAGCGGTGGGGGAACTCAATTACGGAATCTGGGAGAGGCAGAAATCCAGAAGCAGATCACACAACTGCTGCTCCCAGCCCAGGGTCTGCAGCCCCTCGGTGGAGTTTGGCAAGGTGAGGGGGAGGGTGTCAAAGTTTCCAAAGGGCAATTTTCCCCAGAACCTGCTTCTGAAAAGGCTCCTTCGCCTGAGCTGAGCGTTTTACAACCTGAGGTCGTCACACTATTGTTTGCCAGCAAAGCCTCTGCACCCTCCCCTCCCGCCCCCCCGCAGAAAAGGAAAACAACAACAAAAAGGAGAGAAAACGACACGTCCAGTGTCCAGGACTCGGCGCAACCTCCCCCGTCACCGCTAGTTGTCGCTGGGCTCCCAGACGGGAGAGGCGGTGCTCGGCACTGCGGTGTAGAGAGAATGCAGTCCTAATTAAACTGAGCAACTCCTAAAGCTCCCCTTCAAGTCCTCAGCCCAGTGGGGGCCGGCATGCGGGGGGCCTGGGGCAGGGGCGCGGCGGGGGCCGCAGGCGGGGGACCAACAAATCACAAGAAACAGGCAGTGGCCGCGGGGCGCGGGGTGCAGACTCCACGCACCAGCCAGACACCCTGCGGGCGGGGTGGGGGGTGGAGATGGAAGCACCGATCGCCGCGGCATCCAGCACCCCCTCCCCACAACGAGGGGCCGCGGGCAGAGCCGGCGCCTCCTCCCCCGACCCGGCAGTGATGTGGTCAGTAGAAAATCGCATACCTGACGAATACAATGGTCTCCCATAGGTAGAGTCGAAGAGTATTGAAGCTGCACATTTTCAGGTCCTTGTGCTTTGTAGTCCCCGAGTTATGGGGGAGACAGTATTTCAGCTTGGCACTTGGAAAACCAGCGGGCGCTACTGGGAAAAACAATCCTAGGCGAGGGGCGGCGGGCGGGCCGGGAGGGCGCGGCGCCGGCGGTTCAGCACCGCGGAGAGCGTCCGGCTGCCGCCCGGGGGTTCAGCACCGCGGAGAGCGCCCGGCTGCCGCCCGGGGTTCAGCACCGCGGAGAGCGCCCGGCTGCCGCCCGGGGTTCAGCACCGCGGAGAGCGCCCGGCTGCCGCCTGGGGTTCAGCACCGCGGAGAGCGCCCGGCTGCTGCCCGGCGCGGTCGCTGTTTGTTAAACTCCGGCGCGTCCGCGGGTCCCTGCGGCGCCGGCGGCACGTTTGGGGGGGCGGGTAGATTTCCTTTTCCACCCCTGTTTTTCGGTTTAAACGGCCAGCTCCGTGCAAGGAAGAAAAATCGGTGCAGATCAGAGCGCGGGCCTCGGACGGCCAGGCTGGGCGAGCATCTTGGGCAGAGAGAGCAGGGCTCACTGCTCCTGGCTGGCCGGCTTGGGGGGAGCGCCCCCGATGGTGCCGCCTTCAGTTAAAGCCAGGAGAGTGTGCCAGCCTGGCGCATCGCGACCCAGTCCTGGAATCGCGTCCCCCTGCCTGCGTGCCGGTCTGCTGTCGCCTGGCGATCCTGATAGTGGGGTCCCCGCCGAATAAGTTATGGTCGCTGCAGGGTCCTTGTCCCATCGCTCAGGGCTGCGGGCTGAGAAAGCGCAGGGCAAGTTTCAGGGGCTGCCTGGCTCCATGGCGACCCGGCTCAGGAGCTCAGGACTTGAGATGCATCACCGCTTGCCCAGCCGCCCGTCTTCCTCCAGCCTAGACTCCTCAGATCTTCAGACTTTCTTACCGCATTAATTTAACAAACTGGTGGCGTGGGGGATTGGGGGGGGACAAGGCCGATGGGAGGGGGCGGAGAGAAAAAAAGGGGGGAAACTCCTTAGTATCTTCAAACCCTCCCACTCGAGGCGCTCATTGGCCTGCGGCTGCGAGCCCAGCTCCCTCCCCAGTCCCGGGCCAATGGCCTCTGCTGGGTCGAGTTAACACTTGCAGCGCTGGACTGAACGCTCCCCTCTCCTCTGCAGCGGGTGGGCTGCCTGCCGAAGGCTGTGGGGCTGCTCTCGCAGGTCTCTCAAAATGTTGTTTTGATTGTGAAAGAATGTGCTTGTATGAGAGTGAGACAAAAATGGCCACCTGGCTCAGTTTATCTTTTGAACAGGGAAGAGCTGAAGCAGAGCCCTGAGTTTCTTTAGGGAAACTGGAGTTTTAATGTCCCAAGGAAAGGAGAGGTCTCAGGAAGAAGTCTGGTTGATAAGGTAGAGCCCCCACCCCCACCCCAAGGCTCTGCTGCAGGGAATCCCAGGAGAAATTCCTCGAGCCCAGCCGTTTCCAGGAGCTGTTTCCAGGGTCAAGAGGGAGCCGGCCCGGCCTCCCTGCTGTGCCCGCCTCTTTGGTGCTTGGAAGACTTGCTCTCTCCCAGTGGGACAGACGTGTTCTGCTGGGACTGGACGCTGCAGTGGCATCATGGCTCCCCACCCCCTCCCCAGTGGCTGGAGGAGCTCCGGCTTCTTCCCCTGCTTCTTCTCTGTCTCCCCACCTTGTTGGGTCCCAGAAACCAACTACACGTTTCAGCCGAGCGCCCAGCTGGGGAGGTGGAGTTAATCAGATTTTCTTCAAGCTACTGGACTTCAGTGGCATAATAGC